ACTCCCCCTCAGTGCCGCACAGATCAAGCAGGAGCCGTCGGAGGAGTACGAGCCCCCCGAGAGCCCCGTGCCACCCGCTCGCAGCCCTTCACCGCCCCCCAAGGTGGTGGATGTGCCGAGCCATGCCAGCCAGTCAGCCAGGTGAGGGGCAGCTGTAGTGGGGGGTCCGGGGGGGTTTCCCCAGGCTGGGGAGGGACGTATGAGGCAGGGAAGAGGAGGTCACCCCAATCGTGGAGTGCAGCTGCGCCCTTTTGACTTTCCCATGATGCTGTTCCCTTTTCTACAGTGCCTGGCTCGGCTTTGCCTGTCCCTGTCTCCATCCCTGTCCACATCCCTGTCCCCATCCCAGGCTTCTAGCCCCCTCCCATGCTGACAGGCTTTGCCTCTTGCCCCCAGATTCAACAAACACCTGGATCGTGGTTTCAACTCCTGCTCTCGCACAGATCTGTACTTTGTGCCACTTGATGGCTCCAAGCTGGCCAAGAAAAGGGCAGACCTGGTAGAGAAAGTGCGGCGAGAAGCTGAGCAGAAGGCGCGGGAAGAGAAGGAGCGGGAACGGGAGCGGGAGCGGGAGAAGGAGCGGGAGCTGGAGAGGAGCGTGGTAGGTCTGGGGGTCTCTGTGCCACAGCGCAGCTGGGGAGGATGCTCAAGGATACCCTCAGCCACTCCCCGATGGAACTTGATGCTGGTCTCTCTGCTCTCTTGCAGAAGATGGCTCAGGAGGGCCGGCCAGTTGAGTGCTCATCTCTCGGGCCAGTTCCCCACCGTCCCTCCTTCGAGCAGGGCAGTGCTGTAGCGACTGTTCCCCCCTACCTGGGCCCTGACACCCCAGCTCTGCGCACCCTCAGTGAATATGCACGGCCCCACGTCATGTCCCCCAGCAACCGTAACCACCCTTTCTACGTGCCGCTGGGTGCAGTCGACCCAGGCTTGCTGGGTTACAACATGCCGGCCATCTACAGCAGCGATCCAGCGACACGGGAGCGAGAGCTGAGGGAGCGGGAAGCCCGTGAGCGAGACCTGAGGGACCGGGACCTGCGTGAACGTCTCAAGCCTGGCTTTGAAGTCAAGCCAGCTGAGTTGGAGCAGCTCCACGCTGTGCCAGCTGCTGCCATGGATCCATTCCCACGCCATGGTGGGCTGAGTCTGCAGACGGCCCCCAGCCTGCATCCCGCTTTTCCCTTCCACCCAGGGCTGGGCCACTTGGAGCGGGAGAGGCTGGCGCTGGCAGCCGGCCCAACCCTTCGTCCTGACATGTCCTACGCTGAGCGCTTGGCGGCGGAGCGCCAGCACGCCGAGCGGGTGGCTGCTCTCAGCAACGACCCTCTGGCCCGGCTGCAGATGCTCAATGTGACACCTCATCATCATCAGCATTCTCACATCCACTCCCACCTCCATCTCCACCAGCAGGATGCCATACACGCAGGTAAGGACCCCATGGCTGTGTTGCCCTGCACAAAGCTCGGCTCCCCCTCCTCGCACTCCTTCCCTCTGGCCTTGGGGAAAGCCCAAAAGCTGCTGAGATTAGACTTTGAGCCCCCCAGACCTACCTCTTCAGCCAGAAGAGGCCAACATCATGGTCATGCAGCCTTGCCCTCACTCCCATCACCCTAAAGACAAGGACATCTGTTGCAGGTATTGGGGTGTCTGGGAATTTGCTGCTTAGTGGCAAGCAGAGTTGTTTGCCCCATGACCTTTAGTTCTGGATCTCTGGGGATGTGGGATGGGTGTTGGCATCCCACTGGCTACCAGGATGCGGGTGCTGTAGACGGCATCCCTCGTGCTGTGATCTGCAGCAGGAGCTGGAGCCCTGCTAACAGTTTCAACAGTATCCTTAGGACTAATGAACTGTTGGTTCTCTAGTTTGCTCCTGTGGCTCTTGCTGCAGATGGTGGGATGAGATGGGAGAGAAGATGGGCTAATTGTAAGGAACCGGAGGCTGCTGTCCTTCGGAGCTGAGTGGTGGTCCCTTCCATTTCCACATCCTACAGGAAAGCAAAGTAAAAAGAAGTATAGGGATGAAAATCTCAGGGAAGCAGCAGTCAAACTACAATATGATAGGAAAAAGTGCTGTGCCCGCTCAGGTACTGTAAGCGGTCAGTGGGATCTCGTGGCAGAGTCACAGACACCCAGCCGTCGCCACTACTCAGAGATGGCATCAGGGACAAATGAACATCCGTTCCCTGGGTGCCTCCAGCCAGCACTCTGGCAGTGAGTCCAGAATGCTGAAAAGAGCAGTTCACATATAAATAGTACCTTGCATTTCAGCCTTAGGTAGTGCTCACGAACTTGAGTGCCTTAGTGCTCATGAACTGGCAGTGAATATCTGCTGGGTGAGACCTGGAAATGGAAGCACCTAATATGAGCGTGCACATGTGTGACAGCCAGGGTGGCAGATAGATAGGCACAGTGCTGGGTACAAACGTGATTGCAGAGCAGGTCCTTGCACAATCAACTTCAAGGAGCAGTACCTTCTCCCTGAGGAGTGTAGGGACAGAGCTATGCCAGACTGGTTTACATGGAATTCAGTGCAGGCCAAAAGAGTAACACTCAGAAGGACATGGTACTGTGTTATCTAGCCTTGAAATCATCCCATCCTTAACACACAACAACCCTCTCCATGACTGTTTTGTCGTGCCTTGCGCCTTTCTCCATGGTAACTCTTACGAAGCCTGGAACAATTATCTTGTGATATCTTTTTCTTCCCAGCCTCAGCCTCTGTTCACCCTCTTATTGACCCACTCGCCTCGGGATCACACCTCACCCGGATACCATACCCAGCTGGAACCATCCCCAACCCTCTCTTGCCTCACCCTCTACATGAGAATGAAGTGCTGCGCCACCAGCTTTTTGGTAAGGGTGCTCACCAGGACTGCTGATTTCTAAAGAGCATCAGCAGAGCTCCAAGGGGCAGGGTGGTCATGGCGGGGGTCACAGGACCAACCTCTGAGGTCTGTTAAACAGAGCTGTGGCATGGCAGAGGATGGGCCTACACTGCCAGGGCGGACAAGCAAGTCCTGCGCAGGAGCAGGGCTGGGAAAGGAAGTGCCACAGAGTCTCGACAAAGCTACGGGGCCATGGGTGAGGATGGTGTTACATTAACTTGTTTATTCTCTGTTTTGTTGCAGCTGCACCCTACAGGGATCTGCCAGGCTCTCTCTCGGCGCCCATGTCAGCAGCACATCAACTCCAGGCCATGCACGCGCAGTCAGCTGAGCTGCAGCGCCTGGCTCTGGAGCAGCAGCAGTGGCTTCACGCCCACCACCCTCTGCATGGCGTGCCGCTCCCGACGCAGGAGGATTACTACAGGTGCACAGACCTGTGCTCTCTCCGCAGTGCGGGGCAAGCAGAGTGCTCTGTCCTTGCGAGTAATGCCTCCAGGCCCAGCCCTGGCCTGGGGGTGGCAGAGGCAGTGGGAACAGGGAAGCGTTGGCCCTGAAGTGGGTGATTTGGCTTGAGCCCGCACCTGGGAGCAGGAATGCCTTGCCACTGTGTGTTGGCCACCAGGAAAGTGGTGATCTCGGCAACTGGGCTGTTCAGTGGCTAATCTCACCTGGGGTCTCAGCTGCTCTCCTCTGGGGCAGGGGGTAAACTTGCATGTTACACACAGGCTTAATACAGTTACAACTAACTGATGTCCCTGACAAAACGCCAAACATTCACAAGGGTTGGATGCCTTTGCCAAGATGAGGCTTTCAGGAATGCGCTTTGGGAAAGAGAGGTGCAACATTGTACCATTTCGATAGCACCTCCTTCTTCAAGGATTTGTAAAACTTTCCAAGCCAGCAGTGTTGCCTGCTTCCAAACTAACAAAAGGCAGTGGTAGATACTAAATAGCCTTTTTCTCTCTCACAGTCACCTTGTTCCTCTTCTTTTCCTAGCCACCTGAAGAAAGAAAGTGACAAACCCCTTTAAATGGACTTCTACTGTCAATGTGACATCATCATGTCTTTCTCTCAAGAGGAGCAATCGATCAACCAAATCCTCGGGGAGGGGAAGCTGCAGAGTGACACATCCTGATCCCACCATGCAGTAGAGTGCAAGAGAAAATGGACGTAAAGTACAGGATGGCATCCTGGGAGCAAAGTGGAGGAGAGAATTGGGGAGGGGCTGAAATACTACTAACAGATATGAAACAATTGGTACGTGATTTCAGCAGAGCTCTGAGGAAAACAGAATCAGCATTGCACAGAGCTCAGAAAGACAAAGACTGACATGAATTCAGAGTGGCAGCAGCTCCAACCTTTGTTTCGGGGGAACAGTTGCATTAAATACAAATTGCAGAGTATTGCAGGACTTTGTGGATATGATGGTGCTGCCTTTTCTACTTCTGCGAGGAGGAGGTGCAGCCAAGAAGTAACTCAGAACCCAACAGAGCCTTCTTTTCAAGATCTTCCTCACGCCCCACCCCCCTTTAGGTGTAAGATACTGCCTAGTGATACAGAAAAGCAACATGGAACTTTTTCAGATTAGCCAGAGCAGCTTCCCATTCTCCAACATTGCTTCCGATGCAAACGAAGCATTACGGGACCCCTTCAAAAGTGGCCACTCCTGCCTGCAGAGGGACTGGTCCCAGCCGTCGGGGTGCAAAGCACCCTGTGAGACTGTTTGCAAGGTGGTGGCTATGCTTTCCCATGGCCGACAGGAACGGACACGGCCACAAAGGTGCAAAGCACCATGAGACTTTCCAAGACTGTGAATCACTACCCATGACCCCTTTGAGCCCTGCGGGGAGAGCTAATGTGGCCGGGCGATACTGCATCCTGGGACTGTCTTTAAGATGGTGGCTGCCCCTTTCCCCTCACCCATTCTAATTGATGTACTTTAACTCATGCACATCCTATTAGACGTGGCAGTTTTATGTAGCAACTTGTGACTCCCTTGCCCCCCTGCGTGCGTGTCTGATTTCACAGTTGTATCTCTCTATTGGTCCCCATATATATATTTACTTAACCATTAAAAGGAAAAGAAAACCAACCAACAACCCAGCTATGGAAAAAACACCCAAATGACGTTCCCCACGCACTCCCAAGCCCCAACACACATTCTAATAATTTATATATATAAATATATATATGAAGCTCTTAAAAAAGGAAAAAAAAAAACCACAAACAGAAAAAAAACCCTTCCAGAAACAGACTCCGTTGTGTTAATTTCTCTTAGGCACGGGCAAAGCCATGCACTCTCCAGGCAGGGCCGTGAAAATCACGGCTGCTGAGAAGTGCTGCGGAGCCGGCACCCGCCGCGGGGCCGCAGGGAGCAGGTGCCTCCTCCGGAAGCGCCGCGGG